ACAAAACAAACCAAAACCCAAAAAATCTTCATATCTCAACATAAAAGTTTTTTCCATGCCAATGAGGATTTGCAAAACAGAATATTCAGCAAATCTGTGATGGGGACCAAAATACATTTAGTCTAGGACTTCAGAAGAAAAAAAAAGAATAAATTATTTATGTTTTTATAAATTTCAAAATACAGAAAGTATTAAGTATTGTAAGAATGAAGGCACAATTTCTCACAACTAAATACCACTGGGGAAACTCTCCTGTTGGAACATCCAGGAGCCACTCTGGCAGCCACATCCTCACCACCTGAGATGGGACTGAGGCCACACAGCTGCACTCACACCATCAGACCAGATTTCCTCACCAGCTTGACACCAGGTGTCCTATAGCAGAGACTCAGACATCCAGAGCCTTAAAATAATTTAATATTGGTGCAATAAATAAATAAATTACTAAATAAAGTAAGAAATGAATGAATAACAGCCTGAATTGTTATCTCCAAGGAGAACCAGTAACAAAGGGGCCATTGGGCATTTCTAAGCATGGAAAAATCTGGAATCATCTGCTCCTGCTGTGTGTCTCAGTGTCCCTCACCTGGCTGTGCCACAAATCCCTGTGTCCTCTGCTGTGCAAAGGGTCAGCAGCAGTTCACACCCTCCCTTCTCAACCTGCAGCTGCATCCTGAGCACAGGACGTGTTCCTCAACTCTCAATTCCTTCCTCAGACATATCCACCAGTTTCCAAACCAATAAGCATGCCTCTAAATAAAAGGCAAGCGGGTGCCTGGAAGAGAACTAAATGATCAGAATACTTGCCAGGAGCTGGCTTGAACAAGCAAACATCTCCTTGTTCCCATTCCCAAGAGGATCTGAGACCCTGGCAGTGCTTGAGGGTTCCAGGCTGTGCCTGACCCCCATTAATATCCCCAGTCCAAGCTGGCTGTCCTTGCTCGTGGCTGAGGGAATGGTTTGGTCAGGAAGGGAGGGCACTGCACTGCCCCACGGCCCTCCAGACCTCAGCAGGGCACCCCCAGACAGAATGTGCCCTGTAAGGTGGTTCTGGAGGAGAGACTGGTGTCAGAGCCCTGGTCACACAGTCCCAGAGCTGAGCAAAGGCCAGGACATGAACCACCCTGAACAGGATTTGCCATTCTCTGCATGGACCACCCTGAACAGGATTTGCCATTCTCTGCGTGGACCATCCTGAACAGGATTTGCCATTCTCTGCGTGGACCATCCTGAACAGGATTTGCCATTCTCTGCATGAACCACCCTGAACAGGATTTGCCATTCTCTGCATGAACCACCCTGAACAGGATTTGCCATTCTCTTCATGAACCATCCTGAACAGGATTTGCCATTCTCTTCATGAACCATCCTGAACAGGATTTGCCATTCTCTTCATGAACCATCCTGAACAGGATTTGCCATTCTCTGCATGAACCATCCTGAACATGATTTGCCATTCTCTGTGCTGACAGTCAGCTGTGGTCAGGACTTCGGGTCACAACACAATGTGGTTTAACCACATTTGGGCTGGAAGGAGGCCTGGCAGAGTGAAGCTGGATGTAATAGCAGTCAATAGCATTAAACACGGCACAGAGGCCTACCTGAAGAACTATGGATGTAATTGACTGTCTTATCCAAGAATAGATGGAAGTAATTCAGCAAAACAACAAATTTTGCTTCAGTATTATGCCCTAGGTTGCCAGCAGATGACAGCAGGTCCTGGTGGCTGCCTCAATAGCTTCTAATCATGAAATACAATAAGTGAAGTAGGGCAGCAACAACAACAAAAAAAACCCAACAAAAACCAAACCACTCACACCAAGGCACTTACCTGCCCAAGGAATGAATTGAGAATAAAGAACAGAAAGAGTTAGATTCCAGTTTTTATTTTCAGTCAAGTGCTTCATTGTTTACCTTGAATAAACCCTTTCTTGCTAGATTTGAGTGCTGGGGAGAGTGAAGTCAATCTTGGAAACTGAAGTCTTTTATGTACACACCCTGGGATGAAAAACTACTGCTGGGTGGGTGAACTGAAGCTGTACCAGCCCACTGAGGACAAGATTAGGAATCTGAAATCAAAAGACCTTTTCATAAGTCTCTATTTGCCCTCTTTTCTTTTGCATGGTTGTTAGAACTTTAAAAAGATGAGAGGAAGTTTAGTATAATTTTTCAAGGATATGATTACTAGCATAGTAGTTATTTCTAAATTTATCATATGTCTGTGCCAACTTTGTTTTGATGCTGACATACAGTGATACATATTCTGTGTCATTACTGGGACACTGGAGTGGTGAGACTCCCTGTCACATCTTCTAATTCTAGGCCTGGAGGAGTCCATATAAAATGGATAAGGAGTGGAGTGATGCCAACAAAATTCACTTATATATGACATAAACAAAATGCAAAATCAGTGCTATATGTAATCTTTAGAGAATTGCTTCTGTTGTGGTAAAAGCATGATGGTATATAATAAATTATATTGATTTGTGGTTCAAGACAGTTCAAAGAGCTGTTTCTTTTGTATAATACTTTTGAACTCTGCTATGAGTAGGGATTAAATAGCAGGAATTAGTTAAAAATAATTTCAAACAACAAATCTTGGAAGTTTTCTGAATATACTAGATGGTCTTTATAGAAGACAGGCTTGACACAGAAGCCAAATTTGCAAGCTGTGAATATTGTTTACCATCAGTGTTTCAGAATGAGTGGTGTTCTGTTTATCTATGGGCAAATAATCAACAGTTTGCAAAGTAAAAATGCCCTTCTCAAGTTACATATTTTCTGGCTAACCTATCTTTTTTTTTTTTTTTTCGCTATGGTAATTCATTTCTACTCTAAAGGACCACAAAATACTGCTTTAGGTGAACAACTCAATTCACCTAGGCCCTGACTTAGAGCAGGCCATCCGTGACAACCCTAATAAATTGTGCATGAAATTGATTTAATCTATATTCGAGACCTAATTTGTCCTGCAGAATGTTGTGTGTGCAGTTCACTCATGGTTTTATTTCATTTGCTGTTTTGTGGCTTGAATTGTTGTATATTTACGAAAATAATTTCTGTTTTCCTGTCAGAAAAAAACCAAACCAAAACAAAATAACACTCAATTTCTTCTGAGATTGTCTTTCTGATCATTTTTACTGAGGGCAGCATAAATAGTTGAACTGAGAGGTCTTTGATAATTCTTTCCATACCAACCACTCTATCACCTGAAGCCTTCCACTTACAGTTTTGCTCCATCCACAGAACATACCCAGAAGGGCACTCGGTCTCAAATAAAATTCACTATTGGCAACAAGAATTTCCCTAATAGCTGTAGTTGGTGCTAGTTCTGGACTTCTTTGCCACTGTATACTTGGTATAGAACTAAAATAAGAAAAATAAAAATAACACGAGAGAGGAGAACATCTAAGGATTTTATACTATTCTAATCCTGAAATTTAAAATATTTAAAATGCAAACACACACAAATATAATTTTTTTTTCTTTTAAAACCTCTGCAAGTGAGTTTTGCTACCATGGACAGAAGGGAATCCATATATTTGACTGAAGAAACTGCAAACCAATATACAACGGAAATCAGAAAATAGATTAAATCAGAAGTTCTCTAAAACACAAGATAAATGTTAAAAAATCCTTAATTTGACTTGACACCACATAGACAACATGCTAATAAAGAAAAAGTAACTTCCACCATAGGAAGTAATGAATAAAATTGCAAAGCTTTTGCCCCAGAGGAAATAAGACTAGCTGGTAACAACTCCTGACCATTCTTCCAAGCACTTATTTTTTTTTTAAGAGTACAGTGAAATTTCAATGGGATATATTTTCTTTTTGAAGCAATATTTTTAAAACACTGACTCTGAGCCTTGTATATCATGGCATAGATGTTCCATACAACATAGCTATTTCTGAATATTTGTGAGACATCCTCTTCTAAGGCTTCATAGATCCTCACAGCTGTTATCTGCAGACAATTAAAGGACAAATCACATATTTAAGGAATCTAGGAAACCTGACACAACTGCTAACCTGCCTATTTAACATACCAAGGCACATAGGCTAAATCAATTCCCAGAATGGTTGCATTCCATATACTTCAGAGCAGTTATCATGGAAACATCAATAGATAAATAAAAGATTATTGGTTCTAAGCTTTTGTAATCAAAAGCCTTGCTCAAATCTACTTTGATATTTAGCCAAAGGAGATAAATTAATGCAAAATATGTATCTGAAATGAAGACTTATATTTGATTCCTAAATTTTTATTTAAGAAAGCCTTTTGTAAATGTACTATTTTATTGAGAACTATTTGCTTAAACAAATCTAATAACTTCAAAATTTCTCCCATTTGCTAAATGAAGCCATAGTAATATAGGAAAATATGAAGAGAGCAAGACTTTATTGTTACTGGTTTGGATTTCCCCTTTTTTTCTTTAATGCCTTTTAATGTGTACATTAAGTACATGTATCAGCACACACATACATATATAAGTATACACATAAGCACTGAAAAAAAGATTGCTGAACCTTTCTGTTAACCAGTAGACCTTGTTTTCCCACGTTATTTGTTTCAGGTTCTGGAGGTAGGATACAAATATGATGTATCCCAACTTTTTAATTTGGGTTTAAATAAAGATTACCATCCTGAGCTATTTATTCCCTACATCCCACCAGCAGGCATGCCCAGCTAGTTCCCAGGAAGCTGGGCTTTGGAAACTGTGGTGGTTCCTCTGGAAGACAAATGTCATAATAATGAACAGCAGCACCAAACATTCATGTATTACCAACACCTTTCCAGCTGCCAAAGCAAAGCACAGCACACGAGTGCTGCTATGGGAAGAATTAACTCCATCCCAGCCAGAACCAACACAGGCTGAAATGTACTTTCTCCTCTGAAATATATGGTTGGATTCAGTGCTTTCAATTTGAAGCAAAAAGCTTCACAAAGCTTTCATAAAGCTGCTAGCAGAGCAGAGTTGAAAATGGTGCTTACTTACTTGTGTTGGCACCTGTCTGCAGCTGAAACTTGGAACATGATAAATCCCTGAAGCTTGCATGAGCAGAAAAAAAAAGAGAAAAAAAAGAAAAAAAAAGCCTTAAGCAGGGGAAAGTGAGGAGACAAAGTGACAGGCAGAGCAAGGAAGTTCTGAAGACACACATTAAATATTATCTGATATATATTTGCAAATTATTCTCATGAGTTCATCCATGTGGCAAATGCTGATGTACTGCCTTTAAAGTTCCTCATGAATGCATTTTTTAATCTAAAGTAAAATCTCATACCAGTAAAGCTCTTATTTAGAGCATGAAAAAGTTTCTCTTTGTTCTAAAATAAAACTTAGCCTTCCCCAAGAAACATTACCTCAAGAAATATTCATTTGTGAGAGACAGTTCAGAAGCTGCTACAGAGCTTTCTGGCTGTTTCAAGGTTGTGACAGTGCTCAGATATTGCAATGATTCTGTATTGTATTCCAACAGCTGAATGTGTTCCTTACCCTGCATGAAAGGTAGAGTTGCTATTCAAGCTGCAATATCATCTTCTTCTGCTGACATAAATAAATAAAATCTTACAATATATGTCTATTTCTCCAGCTTTCCTTCAGACTACTTTTATTCCAAACACAATGAGGCAGACTTCAAGCACTGAAGGTGAGAGTGTTGCTTCAGGTCACAAGAGGAGCATGTATCTCTCAGACCCACTAGCATTACAGTGTGTGTCAGCACACACTCTTTTGGCTCCCTGTGTTTGATGCTCTTTTTCTGTTGTTAAAATATCTACCTTCTGGTAAGCTTACAATTCTGGAAGGGTGTTGTTTGCAGGTTTTTTATTTGAATTTTTCTTCTGTCTTGACATTTATTTTTCAGCCCTTTCATGCCTCAGTATGTTGCCCCTTTTTTTTTTTTTTTCCCTGAGTTTTCATGCCTCTATACTTTGAGAGCAGTAGGTTTCATTTTTTGCTTCCATTCATTTTATTTTAGTGTGAGTGCTTCTCACTTCCCACACACTTTCAATTTGTATTGATTGTGCTTTTTGTTACCCACATTTCTACCATCCCAAAGCATTTCCCCCCCTTTCTATCACTCATCAGCAAAACAAAACTGTAGCTTTCAGACCAAATTAATGACCACACCAAATAATACAGGTGAGAGAAACTTATGCTGCATTACATCAGTTCCCTTGAAAATAGAAACTCATAAAAAGTTTAAGGGAAATTCTGGGTTAGGGAAAAGATTCAGAATAACATAATATGGTCCTTGATACTTTTCTTATCAGTAGCTACGACAAACATATTTTAAAACATTTCTAAAGCCTGCAAAGTAACCAAGACTGAATTGTTTTGCAAGCTGGAATAATTTCACTTCTGGGAGTGCTGAAACAACCAATATTTCTATCTTCCTCCTCCATAAAACAATCTGTTGCAGACTTTCCCCAGTTCATCAACATCTTCCTAGGAGGGTATCTCTAAAAAGACATATTGAAAGCTTTTCCCTGAGTTTTCTGTTGAGCAGGTGGGCTGTGGGATGGTTTTTGTTTTGTAGATATATTTTGGATTGTTTGCAAAAGCTGTTTGTTACCATGCCATCTGATGGACAATTTCTCAATGTGCCATCATGACTACAGCATCTGCTCTCACCACAATGTTTCTTCTAATGTGAATTGGCCTAGCAGAAATTCATCACTGCAATGTATAATTCATGTTGATAAAAAGGATTGCAAAATATCTGAAAAGGTAAAATGGTGATATTGTCTGCAAAAAGGCCCTTTTATAGCTCACTACTCATATTTGCCACTCTGTTTCCTGATATATCTTTTCCCTAAAGAAATCAGCATGTGTCAGTCCTCCATATCTCAGATTAAAACAATTAACAGAAATTATGTCTGCTCCCTGTGTTGCCATGTTCAGATTCTTCAGGACTTGTTCAGCTTCAGTTGGTGTAGCAGGATAGCTTAAGTGTGGTAAACTTACCTTTAAATGCTCATGTTTATGGCACACGTGTATTAATGCATTACCACTGACTGCCAAAAATTGTTCTGCAGGTGACCATCTGGGATATCAGAGCCAGACAACAGCAACACAAAAATTCAGCATTTCTTTGTTTCTTACTCCTAGTGATTTTCATTTTTTTTCCAGGGGATGTCACAGAGTTTCATCACCTAATATTTTAATATCTGACAGCCTTCTAGCATTTCGCCTGGGGCAGAGAGGAATAATTTACAGAATTACTAAGGTTGGAATTGACCTTTTGAAATGATCTAGCACAGAAATCCTTTTGCTCAAGCAGGGTCAGAGAGATGAGAGTGTCCAGGATAACACACAGCTGAGTTTTGAATACCCTCAAGGATGGAGACTCCACCACCTCTCGAGGCAACTGTTTGACCAAACTCCCAGCTGCAGTTTTTCTGTGCTCAGATGGAATTCCATGCATATTAAATTGTGTCCATTGCCTCTTGTTCTGTCACTGGGAGTCTGTGGGTAGAGAATCTCTCCCTCATATTAATTCACTCCTGTTCGATATTTACCCACATTGCTAAGATCCCTCTGAGTGTTCTCCAGACTAAAGAATCTCAGCTTTGTTTCTCTTTGGAATTCCAACAGACTATTGGCCTTTCTAAAACAATTATATCTGGAATTTGTTAACAGCCCAAAGAATTTTTCCCTCTAATACCAAAAAAAAAAAAAAAAATCCTCAGATATAGACCAACGAGTTTAAAGCATTAAAATCCATATCTTATAGCTATATATATAACCTTAAAAAGATATTCACAGTTGATAACATTTCTTTCCGTGTTAATAAATAAAGGGCAAAGTACTAAAAGAAGTCCATATCATTACACACTGAATGACTGTGAAGTTTTAACAGTGCTTTAACAAGCAGCTTTGAATGAATTTTAGATCCTAAATTCTGTATCGACCTCCTTTAGGCAACTCTGTGCTCAGATAGAGCTTATGCAGTCTTCTGAAGCTGCTTTTAAAACCTGACTCATCATCCTTAAGAGACTGACACTTGTAAATGCCACCTCAGGCACCACTGGAGAGAGCTTTGCAGAGCATGAGGTGTCCTGTGCACCCAAATATTCCAACCAAGGGCAGCAAAACATGCCACAAAGCACTCCCAGACACACCATGGGCACGCTGCCTGCGGCTGGCCAAGGCTACCACCGCAAAGTGCAGGGCATGGGGTGGCCAGAGTCGTCTTCTCTTCCACAGGGAAACCACTCCTGGGATTCTGCACAGGCACAGGGGCTGGCAGAACCCCAATTCACAGCAAGTTCAGAGTATAAATAACTACTTAAGACGTGATCCATTAGGGATCTCCTCAGATTCCACATGAGGGAAAAGAAACCCTTTGTGCTCTCACATGTGAAGAAACAAAGCACAGTCTTGACAACTATCAAGAATTTATCATGAGTCTCAAGGTGTCTGATTTTCTTAAAAGCCTTGTCTCTGAAACAGGTATTTTATGAATGCTTCCCTTCCCTCTGTCTCTCTATGTATATATAAATCTATAAAAGTATGTATGTGTATATGTATAGCTATGTAGTCACATGTATGCATCTACATATATGCACACATGCACATACACACATATGTGTGTGTAGAGATATACTTATACAATGTATATATATTTTTTTATATATATGTATTCTTCTAATCGTCATATGTAAGGAAGCAAGTCTGGAAATTCATGACTCAAGGTCAGACTTGCAGCCCAAAACCAGAGGCAAAAAACCCAAAAAAAACCCCCCAGAGGTAAGCTGCTTATTGCTATTTTTAAGTTTGCTGTTCTGGCACTTCTTCTGTGCCTTTTGAATGTTTGGGCTTGACAATACTGAAAAACCTTCACCCTTTTTCTGTCATCACAGGATCCAAGACGCTTTCCAATTTGGAACTTGAACTAGGGAAAATGTTAATTAACAATGGTGCCCTCAGTTGTTAGCTCGCTCTCAGCATATTGCGACACGTTGCAGTTCACGTGCCCTTCTTTAAGCAGATTTACAGATTGTATTATATTGCTTTAACTAAACCAACTCGCACAAAATGGACACATTTCTCACAATGAAAATAATGTTAATGCGATGGCAAGCAACCAATAAGAAAATGGCAGACATGACATTTCTCCTACTCCTAGTAGCTGTCAAAATTTTTCTCAGTCATTCTATAAGGCAACAATGATGATAACCTAATCAGATATAATAAAAGTCTGAAGTAATGTGATATTTAACCCTGTACTTCCCTAAATTTACTAATAAATGTTCAGAGGTGTCTTCTTAAGAGCAAAGGGCAAAAATCTTCCATGGTGGAAATGGCTGAAATATACAGAAAACAATATGGCAACAAACTATAAAACATTCCTTTTTTTCAGAATATACTGGTGAAATATGCTGCAAAATATTGCTGAATTTTTAATTAGGTTTGCTATTCAATTGGCTGAAAGTGCACATGTCTCTAAGACATATAAGTTTATGGTATTTCTTAGATTCTGTTTCAGTACTGAAGTACATTAAGAGCCATTGCTTTGTGAGCCACTAAAGGAAAGAAATAATGGAGAAAATGTATTCTCAATGGCGACTTCTTTAACAAAAATAACGTTTTATAGTAAAACTTTGCAAGTGATGGAATGGCTGCTTTTACTAGAATAAAAAAAGGGTCCCAGAGTAAAGTTACAGAGAGAGCACCACCCATAGAATTCATTCACCACGTAATTTATAGAGAAACTGCTGCAGCAAGAAAACAGCAGCCAGAAATGCACAAAATTTTAAAATATGCCACCAGTGTGGTGAATTTTAGAAAGATATTTAAATAGCACAATCTTTACAGTATTTGTATTGAGATGGGGAGGAACCATGAAAAATCTTTTGTACCACACAGTGGTTTCTTGGTCATCTCATGTCAAAGTGCTTAAAAGAGTTGTCAAAATTAAAGATAATTTTTTCATTTTTCTTCTGAAAAGCACAAGTGTTCTGCATTTACTGAGCTTTTCTGTGTTGACAAGTGGTTGTCAACAGGTTGCTACATAGCAGATATTTAAAAAAATAAACAG